GATAGTGGTCTAAAGTACCTGCTTAGGCAAATTACAGGGACCACAGTTTGACCACATGCCATGCTAGCCCCACACCTAGGGCAGGCTGAGCCAGCCAAAAAAAAAAAAAAAGATTAAGTGCTGCGGATTGAATCCAGGATTTTATACATACTTGGCTAGGCAAGCACTTTCCTCGTGAGCTATACTCCCAATCTCAAGATGATTCTGTCCTGTTTTTCAAGAAAATGAAGTAAATGCACCCAGACTTAAAGTGGTATTTTTAAAGAATTGTTGCAGAAATGTTGAACAAAATCAAAACAGACTCCATCTTTTAGGACTTGATAGGTTAGAGGGAGAAGCTGACATTGAGTACTTTTTTATGTGTTTAATTTTTAGTCTTTTTGAGACGGGATTTCACTATACAATTCAGGTTGGTCTCAAACTCAGCAGTCCTCCTGCGTTAGTGCTGGGATTTCAGGTGTGTGTCACCATGCCTATCACATGTTTATTACTGAGGTAACAGGAGCTTGTTTGGGTTTGGCCAGCCAAGGAAATGTAGCCTGAGTAGCAGAGTGAGTAGACGTTAACTTGGGTGAGCATGGTCAGGCAGGAAGAGTAAAGGCTCCATGGTGAGAAGCCACATGCCTTCTTCATAACCATAACAATGAATGGGTTAAAGAAAAAGGGATATGTGATCAGTTTACATTAAAAATAGATAATAAATATGGTGTACTTTTTTTTAAAGGAATAGAGTCAGCAAGGGAAGAATTCAGACCTGTTCTGAGGATCTTGCAGTAGTTTCTTTTTTTTTTCTTTTTTTTTTTTTGGCGGAACCGGGGATTGAACTCAGATCCTTGAGTTTGCCAGTCAAGTGCTTATCCTACTGAGCCATCTCCCCGGCCCCATTGCAGTAGTTTAGAAATCATTAACACAGTTTGAAATAAGCAGAGGTAATAGAGAAGATAGAGAAGATAAAACAGTGAATCAGTTGGACAGTCTTACAGAGCAGCTGTGCTGAACCTATGGCATGTACGCCACAGTGGACTGTTCACATCACTGAAGGCCCAAAGTTTTATTGTCACTGTTATATGGAGGGCTGAGTTGTCTGGATTATGTAATTCATTGGTTGTGGGACTGAAATTGTGGACAGTATCAAGAATTTGTTTTCTGGAGATGTCAAGATAGCTCAGCATTCTAAAGTGCCTCCTTAGGCATTGCAGTTTGATCCTTGGCACCACATGCAA